CTCCATGGCCTCTCCAAACTCCTCCCATGCCCGAGTTTTTGTCTCAGCGACCACCCGAGCCACATGTCGCTTGGACTGCCGGTACCCATCAGCTGCTTCCGGGGTCCCACAGGCCAAAAAGGCCCGATAGGACTCCTTCTTCAGCCTGACAGCATCCCTCACCGGGTGACGGCCCAAGGTAAACTAAATGCTAAAACTAAGCTCTCGGTCAACCACCGACCCGTTCAACTTTCAAATAGTTTTTTTGTGCTTCGTGATACGCCCGCTAAGGAGCAGACTCTCATTGTTGGCAGCCCCATAGTCCGAAACGTGGCACCTGCAACTCAAACCAGTCAAATGCATTCCAGGGGCCAGAGCAGGCGACATTGAATCCCACCTGAAACTACTGGCTAAAGCTATGGCTAAATACAGTAAAATCATTATTCACGTTGGTGAAAATGACACTCGGCTACGTAAATCAGAGATCACTAAAATTAATTTTGCTTCAGTGTGTAACTTCACAAAAACTGTCTGACTCCATGGTTTCTCCAGCCCCCTCCCCAACCTGACCATTGATGACATGTTTAGCCGTATGTCATCTAACCACTGGGTGTCCAGGTGGTGTTCTGAAAATAACATAGGATTTATAGACAACTAGAGAGCATTTTGGGGAAAACACGGTCTGATGCGGAGAGATGGAATCCATCCCACCTTAAAAGGAGCAGCACTTCTCTCTAAAAACTTAGCTGATTCAGTTGGACATCCAGATTATTTACAATTAATGATTCAGTATAGAAATCAGTCCAGGAAGCATAGATGTAGTCCTCCACACCACGCTGTAACCAAATTTAAATTCTCTCTTCATCATTTTCCTCTGTCTTGCAGAGTACCGATAATACATCAGCAAACAGTGACTTAGATCATCTAGTTGCTAATTTTACAACTTCTTTGCAAACTTCACTCGATAAAGCTGCTATGCAGAAAAAGAAAGTAATCAATCAGAGGAGATTAGCTCCTTGGTTCAATTCTACATTACGTAATTTAACAAAGACAACTAAAAAGCTGGAAAGAAAATCGTGCTCCACTAACGTTGAAGAATTTTATTTATCTGGGAGAGATAGCCTGCTACCTTATAAAAAAGCGCTCCATAAAGCTAGAACTTTATATTATTAATCTTTAATAGATGAGAATAAAAATAACCCCGGGTTCCTTTTCAGTTTCATAGCTCGTCTAATGAAAAATCATGTCTCTGTTGATTCATGTATCCCTACAACTATAAGCAGTGATGACTTCATGAGATTCTTTATAAATATATTTTTTTTAATTACGCAAAAATATCAAACCAACATTCCTACTATCACCTCTGGTTCTGTGTCTGATGAGACAACTTTAAAATGTCACTAGAACCTGATTTCTGTTTGGACTGTTTTTGACCTGTTGCGCTCTCGGAATTGTCAAAAATAATAGCTTCATCCAAACCATCCACATGTCTGCTAGATCACATCCCAACAAGACTGTTTAAAGATGTATTTTCCTTAATTAATAACCACGTCTTAGATCTGCTTAATTTATCTCTAATAAACGGTTACGTACCACAGAGCTTTAAGATTGCTGTAATTCAACCTTTACTTAAGAAACATAACCTTGACTCAGGAATTCTAGCAAATTATAGACCTATATCTAATATAACTTTCATCTCAAAAATTCTAGAGATAATAGTTGCAGGTCAGTTACGTGATCATGTACAAAAAAATAACCTGTTTCAGTCAGAGTTTAGAGCTTATCATAGCACAGAAACAGCACAGGTGAAAGTTACTAATAATATTCTCATGGCCTCAGACAATGGACTTGTGTCTATACTGGTCCTGTTAGACGTCAGTGCTGCATTTGATACAGTTGATCATAATATTCTACTACAGAGACTTCAATATGATATTGGGATTACAGGAACAGCTCTATCTGATAGATTCCAATTTGTAAATGTAAATAATAAATCTTCTTCATATATCAAAGTTAGTCATGAAGTTCCTCAGGGCTTAGTGCATGGATAAATACTCTTTACCTTATATATGCTTCCATTAGGTAAAATCATCAAACAGCATGGGATAAATTTTTGTAGTTATGCTGATGATACACAGTTATATTTGTCCATGAAACCCAATTAATCCAATCAGCTACTTAGACTACAAGCATGACTTAAAGATATAAAAACCTGGATGATCCTAAATTTTCTGCTTTTGAATACAGACAAGACTGAGTTTTTAGTTTTTGGACTTGAGCATCTTAAGAATACATTTTTCAGCCTTTCACCCTAGTTGGATGGCATTAATCTGGCCTCGAGCTCTAATGTTAAATATCTTGGGTGTTATTTTTGATCAGGACATGTCTTTTATCCCCCACATTAAAAACGTTACTAGAACTGACTTATTCCACCTGCGTAATATCACTAAAATTAGAAACATCTAAAAATGATGCAGAAAAACTGGTTCATGCATTTGTCACGTCTAAACTGGACTATTGCAATGGTTTATTATCTGGGTGTCCAAATACTTCTTTAAAACGTCTTAAGTTGATCCAAAATGCTGCTGCCAGAGTCTTAACTGGAGATAGTAGGAGAGATCATATCTCCAGTTTTAGCTTCTCTCCACTGGCTCCCTGTCAAATTCAGAATTGAATTCAAAATCTTACCTCTAACCTACAAAGCTCTCAACAACCTAGCTCCATCTTATATTTGAGAAATTATTGTTCCATATATTCCTAACAGAGCACTTCACTCTCAGACTTAAGGTTTACTTGCGGTTCCTAGAGTTTCCAAAATCAGAATGGGAGGCAGATCTTTCAGTTCTCAGGCTCCTCTCTTGTGGAACCAACTTCCAGTTTCTGTCCATGAGGCTGACACATTGTCCAGTTTTAAGACTGGGCTTAAGACTTTGCTTTTTGATAAATCCTAGTTAGGGTTGGCTTGTTATGTTGCCTTAAACTTAGACTACTACAGGACTGACCTCATTTCCTTAAATTAATTGTTAAAATTTAATAGTTTTCTTTTGATACTATTTCTATCTTAACATTTGATTCTTGACCTGCCATTGTGTATCTGTTCCTCTCAAACCCAGCTGGTTGAAGCAGATGGCCGCTTGTCCTGAATTTGGTTCTGATAAAGATTTCTTCCTCATGAGGGAGTTTTTCCTTTCCTCTGTCACCTTCATACTTGCTCAAGATGAGAGTTCTGTGATGAAGTTAAATTCAAAGCAGTCTGCTCCTCAGACAAATAATGTTAAATTATTATTTTTATACATGAATGTTTATGTTCAGTGCCCTGAATGTTGTGACTTGGTGCTTTATAAATAAACTGAAATGAACTGAAGTATTCCTTTAATAACACCAACATGAATGATGTTCCTGGACTCTCTGTGTCAGTGATGGTGACCCACCTGATAAAGATGCTCAGAGTGGATCTGCCAGAAGCTGCTGGGGGCCGACTGGCTGAGTGGACCGGGCCTGCTCAGAACCAGTCCGGAGCTGGAGTTGGACCTTGGCCTGTGAGCCTCAGGGATCTGGAGGTCCGATCCTGAAGGGGAACCACAGGAAGCCCAGCTGAGAGGAGCGGAAGCAGTCGGAGCCAGAACTGGAGCTGGAGTTGGAGCGGAGCTGGCCTCGACGGTCTCGCAGCAGATCCTGGTGTAGTAGAAGTCCTCCTCCCTCTGGGACTGATCCGAGCCACTGCTGTTTGTTTGATGGGAACGCCCCGGAGGAACAAAACAAACAATTCAGGTTCAGGTTCTCTCTGTTCCTTAAACCCTGCACACCCTCCACTTGTGACAAAATAATTATTTAAATTAATGAACATCAGTGAGAGGTGAACAGTTCTAAGCATGACCCAAAACACTCAACCTGCTTAGTGGGGGGCAGAGGGACACGGGGCTCAGTTTGAAACAAAAACAACCAACGTTTGTATCTTTCATTTCTTCCTGTTGCACCAAACACTAAACAACAAACCCTGACAAACTGCTGACAAAAATTTGAAGTCATACTTTCTGAAGCAACACAAAACCACTAAAATTACACTAAAAGCATCCTGATGCATGCTCAATAATCCAGGTAGAAAAATCCAAAAATGTTCAATCTGGTCCTCTGGACATTCAAAAAAACAAACAACAAAACAAAGCAAAAAAATATAGAAACGTTTCGTCTCTCATCCGAAAGACTTCCTCAGTCTGAGGTGCTGTATTCAGCTCAGTCTCTTAAATAGCACCTTCTCAGAGTGGATCAACCAGTTTGCTGCTGACAACCAAAACCAGCTGCTCACATGGTCAAGAAGGACCATCAGCCTAACAATGGATCATTAGCACACTGATGGCTGTTTACTATTCACAGAGGGCTGAGTGATGCTAGCAATCACAGCATTGTAAGAGGGGGACAGTTGAACACGTAGGCCTCCACCCCTGTTTAATGATGGACGGTTTCTTTTCACAAAGATGGCCTCCTTTACTCCTCTCTCAAACCATCGTTCCTCTCTATCCAGGATTTGCACATCTTCATCCCTGAAAGAGTGACAGCTGGCCTGGAGATGAGTGTAGACCGCAGAGTCCTGGCCTGATGATGTTGATCTTCTGTGCTGGGCCATCCTTTTGGCCAGTGGCTGTTTTGTTTCCCCGATGTAAGACTGATCACAGCCCTCCTGACACTGAACAGCATACACAACATTACTCTGTTTGTGCCGGGGGACTGGATCTTTGGGATGAACCAGTCTTTGCCGTAATGTATTTTGGGGTTTAAAAGCCACTGGGACGTTACGTTTAGAAAATAAACGTCTCAGTTTCTCTGATACTCCCTCAACATACGGAATGACCACTGGTCTGGGTTCCTCCTTTTCACCTGTTGGCTGACTGGAGTCCTGTTTGGGTTTCTTCTCTGCTTTCAGGAAGGCCCAGTTAGGATATCCACATTGCTCTAGAGCCTGTCTTGTGTAGGATTTCTCCTTCTGCCTGGCTCCTGAGTTAGTGGGGGTGCTGTCTGCTCTGTGGTACAGAGTCCTGATGACTCCT